AGCCATATTTTCAGAATACATTGCACAATCTCATGTATACAATAATCAACTTCGAAAACTAAAGAAATTAATTAACACTTTTTTCTTAGCTTGGATTTCTGAAGATTTGTTCTGGGACTTAAAAAACCTTCGAACCATTATATTTCATAACAACCGCATTTCTTCGATATCTAATGAACTATTCAAAAATCTGCTGCATATAGTGACATTAGATTTAAGTACAAACCGAATTTCCAAGGTAATGTATTATTGTTTTTTAATTTTAGTTAAATCTGAATATCTTTTCTCCACAGATTGGTGAACATGCATTTTCCAAACTTAACAATTTGCGGGAACTCTTACTTGAACAAAATTATCTTTTTCGGATACCTGATAATTTGTTCAACAATTTGAATTCGCTGATTAGGTTGAATTTGTTTTCAAACAATCTTACTACGATCGAGACGAAGGATTTTCAAGGGCTTATAAACTTAAAAAATTTAATGCTCAACAACAACATTCTAAAGGATATTGAAGCCGAGGTTTTCACGCCAGTGAAGAACCTTGAAAAATTGTATGTACAATCTCAATTAACGGCTTTATAGGAAATAATGAGCATTGCCTGCTATGCTTCTCAAATCTATGCAATTACGAATGAGTTCTATTGAATTACTTATGCAAGTAGTTTTTATCGTTATATTTATGAAAGTAGATCCGGTCATTTAAGTACCTCCTCTTACCATTTGGCTCTAAGTAACCGCGACGCAAGCCAAACCTGACTTCTAAAGCATTTTGTTGCAAATAAGTATTGTTTTTTAAAGTTACTTTTTTAACTTATAACTTTTTCCATTTTTGGGCACAGCTTTAATAAAAGCTTGTTCCTAAAAAATCTGCCTTGTATATACTTTATTTAATTTGAGCTTTAAAGTTTTACATTTGGACGATTCTCATAAAATTGAAAGTCCGAAGGAAAATGTAAAAAAATGACACAAGTTGTTTTTTTAATTCTTTTTATTTTAAAGATTATTATGTTTAATCTCTTGTAAAATTTTACTGTCTTAAAGTTTTATAAGGTGTTAAACATTTTGGGAACCCCCTAATTATCTTGTACCTAACTTTAATCTATGATATCTGACAGTGGTCTTTCTTACTACAGGCATTACAAATTTGCCGCCAAGCTATAGTAACTATCGAAAACTTTGTGGTACCGATATGTGTATTTTGTAACGCTGCACTGTGTCAGAAAGCGATCAAAACTGGCCAAAATTCAAAATCTTATAAGATAAATCAGATTGGCTTGAAAAATGTCACTCTCGGGGTTTTAGGGTAGCTAGTTACGAATCTGGAGTCAGGTTGGAAAAATTCAATTTAGGGGCCTTAATTTGGAAAATTGCGCGATTTAGCTTGAAACTTGTTTTTCAGGTGTTGTAGGGGTCCCTGATTAAGGATCTGTCTTTCAGTTTNGTAACAGTGTACCAATTCAACAAATCAGTTTTATTAATTACAAATCGTTACTATATATTAGTCTAAGGAAAGGCGCTTATTTCCAGCGATCTACTAATCGTACAAGTCGTGTACCAAATTAAAGTGCTCGATCTGAAACTCTACACAAAAATTTGAGGTTTAAGAATTATTATACCACTTTTGCAATATTTGCACGGAAGAATTTTTAAGGTTTTACATTGAACAACGCATTGCTACGTTCATTTCAATAGGCAGCAACTGTGTAGCGCTCTGAAT